TTTGTTTTACAGGCGTTTCCCCACATTTCCACACAGTGGGTCATATATGGTAGTAATAATGAAGAGCATAATGTGTATAAAGATCTCATTCAGCACATCCTTGTTTGGTACAGGATCAATGTGGTTTTGGATATTTTCCTTTTCACATTCTATATGTCATGTTCTGGTGTCGGCAGCAGGTGGCGGGCTGAGCATTCTTGCTGGTTGCACACCTGCTGCCAATCTGTCATTATTGCACCCTGTATTTTAGGTCCGACTAACATGCATTTCTTTGCTGGAGAATTGTGTGCCTTGTCACTGCTCTTGCCCGTGAAATGTGTATTCTGCGTTTGAAGTGTGTATTCTGCCCATGTTTGGACATGCTGCATAACTTTCCCATGCCAGCAGGGGAACGCACAGACCCTGTTTCTTCTCCTCATGCCTGCAAGTTAACCTTTACACCCGAGAAGCATCTCCAACTTCAAAGTGACATTCGGAGGGACACTGGATGTGAAACCAAGACAAAGTTATCGGGCGGCCCAGAACTAATAACGTATATCTTTGATTAGACTGGTAAATTTGTTTGGCGTCAAATTGTTTTTTCAAAAATGTTTGAAAATGGAAAAAGATGGGGGAGGGAAATATATTTTTTGTTTTAATATGGTTTCTGTAGGGGGACAAACATGACACCAACATTCTTTAATGTTTTCCAGTGCTTTAAAAATGTGTAGAATAAATATTAAATGTCAACATTTCTGTCGACAAGGATTTGCGTCATAGCCTGCGACACACGTTTCTATTTGCAGGACGGGATGCAAGGCAGGTGACTGTCATGAAAAAAAAACAGCATTTCATCAGTTCACCAAGGGTCCTGGCAAAGAATGGCAATGTGGATGGCTGAGAGAAGCATTTTAAACGCGACACGTGAGCTACGAATAGTTAACACGCTGCAAAAGTGCGTCCCATGCCTCGATCATCTTAGGGGCATATTATGGCTGTTGCTCATTATGGTATGCGTGTGTAAATGCGTGTGGAAGTGCGTGTGTATGCGCACGTGCGGTAACAGGTCGATCGCGGGAGGTTTGTTGATCAAAAAGTAGATCTTCCGTCAAAAACGGTTGGGCACCCCTTCTCTGCAGAATTGCATTGCAGGGAAAAAAACATTCAATCGTGAAGGCTCATTGTGTATCTCTAGCCAACTTAGTCATTTTGATAGTCGGCAATAGTGATGGGTCCAGCAACACCGATGTGTCGAGCTCACAGAGCAATCCCTGCGTCGGTGCGTGTACTGCTTCAAGACGATCACGTGACCAATAAATGAACTGCGTCGACTCAGTCCAGTGGGCGTCGACACCGCAAAAGCCCGCCAAACTGTGTGTGCTTATAAGGAAGTGCGTGGAGTGATGCGATGCCACCTGCCGAAACAAGCCACACCTCACCCTCGCTCGAATAAAAATATATATTTGGGCAAAAAAGAAAACACACAGATTATCAGAAAAACGTGTCCGTCTGACTTCCAAGCGTCGCGTCGGCTCGGCTAGCTTAGCTGTTGTCGTAGTTCAAAGCTTCTTTGATATGTGATGTGGGTTGCGTCGGCGCTGATTGGTTGAACCACGTGAGTACGTGCTCGCGCTCACGCGCGCACAGCAGAGAGCAGCGGACTATCGACTGCTAAGGCTTCGCGATTCACTCGAGTGGCGTTGCTACAGTCCGTGCATATTATGGAGCAGCTCCCGGAGAAACGCAAATTTTCCGCCCTGTAGAGCCATTTTGATCTCCTTTTGGAGAATAAAGTATTTACCGTATTGGCCCGAATATAAGACGGTGTTTTTTGCATTGAAATAAGACTGAAAAAGTGGGGGTCGTCTTATATTCGGAGTCTAAACATTATACCCATTCACGACGCTAGATGGCGCCAGATACCATTGAAGCGAATGCTGAACTTGACTCCCCAGGCCAAAGAGAATCCCTGTCACGAAGAATAAAAATAAAAATAGCAGTAGCACGAAGAAGGAAAATAAAAAATAGAGAAAGAAAAGAGAAGAAAACAATAAAAGAGATAACAGAAAATGGAGAAACGTAGCGACAATCTGGAGAAAAGTGGGTCAAAGAGCGGCCACATTAACCGGCAGCTGAGGAGAAGTTATGATGTAATTTACATTTCAAAAACCAGAAGCCATTCTGTTACGAATGTGATTGCACTTTAGTTTACATATTTAAATCCTCAGATATTAAGATTTGAATGAGGCAAAATAACATGCTTTTTCTCTCAAATATATTGTTATAATCATTAGTTTCAGATGTACTGTAATTATTTTCTGTATAAAAATTAATTTGGTGTTCAAAAAGTCTTTTTTCAAACTTTCAAACGGTATTCAAATCTCCTTGTCTCACTGAGTGCCTCACAGATTATTGACATATCTTTTTCTATTGTAATTCAAATTAATTTCAAGGAAACTCTTAGTTCACTATTCACATATTTTATTACAGGTGAAATGTCGAATTTTCCAGATAGAAATATCATATACCAACAGCAGCACCTCTGCAACTACATCTGGCATATGACTCATCATTATTAGTTTGTTTTTTTGGAAACTGTTCTAAATGCCAATTTTGTTAGGTCAGTTCAGTCTGTCAAGAGGGTTGCCTGCAGGGATTTTGAAAGTCTAGCAGGTGTCAGTGGTCAGCGACACAATATCAACACAGCATCAACACAGTGTGTCATTGTGTCAACACGTTTTATGACGCCTCATGGACCCATCACTACTAGGCAAATATAGCTAGTATAGATTCATACAGCATGCGTTGCCTTCAATGTAAGGCTTATATAAGTCTCCAGACATATTTGTTTTTTGTTTTTGTTTTTTTTGTTCCAATATGGCTCTTTCAACATTTTGGGTTGCCGACCCCTGCCCTAAGGTCACGCATGTACGCAGCTTTGAAGTATTTCTTCAAAAAAGGATGAAGATTCTCCAAAATGGAATTCCACTTTGAATTGCAGGGCAGGACAGCAAGCGATGAGTTGCAAGATGGCGCCTGAGGCAATCCGCGTCAGAAGCGGCGAGAAATGGAAAGATCTTAAGTTGGCCAGACTCTGTTTTATATACAGTGCTGTGAATGTATCAGTATGTATTATACTGACCTCTGGGTGCCAAGTCAGTCACACTAGAATGAGAATGGTCAATTAAAGCATGAAATCATGATGTAAAAATGGTTTAATTCTTTACCTTCTGTTTAACTATGTGGTAACTGTATGTTTGTACAGCACACTTCTGCCGGGTGCAAATTTTCGTCTTAATTTGTTTTTTTTTTACATTTTATTGAGGCAGGCAGGTTTTTGGAGTGGCTGAAACAGTGGCGGACCCTCAGGGCCAGCAAGGCCTTCTCTGCTGGCCTAAACATTCTCAGAAAAGTAAATTTACTTTCATGTATTTTATGTTATTTTATAATTTATGTTATTTTATTTTCATAAATATGTAAACAAAATTATTCTCTGTATTCTTTACGTTGTATTATTTCCACTTAGTTGAGTGGCTTTCAATGTTATTTTAAATAACTCGATAAATAAGTTATTTATTATGGTAGAGTTTTTAACCAATCATATTTCAGCTAGCTGTATTGCCAGGTAAATTACATTTGCTCGGGGCCTTCAGATTAAACAGAGCAGGCCCCTGTGCGCTGTAAGTGAACGGGCACAGTCAGGTTTCAATAGCCAATCAGATCACGAGTCTCAGA